TAAGTAGGGTCTCCTTATACAGTACGGCTTCTAATTGTGGTACCAGCTTCTACTAGGTAGCATTATTACCAAGGGTTTTCCCTTCAGCTCTCACGTGTGTGATGCAATATGGCGCCATGCAGCTGGGCCTGAGCCGTTAATCATCGGACGTCAAGTTTCAACTTCCAAATATCCATACATTGCCAGAGAGCGAGGCCATGCAAGATGTGAATCCAAGATGTAATGTTTCTATATTAGTACCGTAGGCCGTAGTTGATATTTGAAGGGGTGGTAGCGTCTGTGCAGCTTGATGGCTTCCGAAGCCCGATGTCACCATTGCAAGCTGCAGCCAGGAGCTGCCAGGGCCTGCTGGATACATAGAATCTTTAAGATGCGTTCCGATGCTCTCAAATCGTCACTGATTGTCATTAATACTGGTAATACCACCTGAGCGAGGACTCGTCATCATGATCCTTCTAATTGCGGAATGCATGCAGCATCCGGGCGGCAGCTTCCGGCTTCCGAAGCTCTCGAGTCTTGGTTGGGCCGAGTGCATGACGCGCTCGGCTCGCCCGGTACTGTCCGATTTCTGCATGCTCAGGAAGCTCAGGCAGGAGGTCGCTGACGTCGTCCGTTGTTCGCACGTGGTTGGTCGAGAGTCGAGATCTTGCCTTGAGAAGACGGCGCCAGCCTTTTGCGGGTTCTGACACCAACAGAATCGTTTGTGACGCCAGCGATAATACTGTTGTACACAGTATCATGTGGTTAAAACCATCCTGGCTCTTCTAGCTATTTCCAACGTAAAAACCAGCCTGAGGTGTGTTCCCGCTATAGTCACTTTGCTCGAGAAATAAGGTAAGAAGAGCTGCACTCGCCGTACCTAACAATTGATCAGTCAATGGTAAGCTGACAGACTTTACGTGCGCTAACGTATAACGGCCGACCAGCTGTACGGCCGCACGCAGCTGGCTGACGCAGGGCCGAAGACGGTGCTAAGGGTCGAATGGCAGAATACCGTATACGGAGAGCTTGGGCAGGAGGTGTGTGGTCAAAAACATATATATTAGAAACTCTTTGAGGCAGCCGGACGGGCCAGAACTTTAAGTTAGGACGTTGTAGGTACCAGCTGAACTTGGGAACAAGGCTTTCCAGTGTGAAAGACATACTTGATGATCAGCATTTGGCACTCCAGTGGCGGCTGGTCCTGAAGTTTCGAAGGAGGAGCAATTTCAGTGAGGTATGCGGCACAAATCATACATGAATCAGGAGCCCAGCATGTTGCACCTAAAGAAGAATTAAGGCAATCTGCAGGAAAGTCTGATAATCTACAGCACCGTGCAAGACCAGGACCGTGCAATCCATGTCCCGGTGGGAAAGTCCTGTTGACCCCTAAGAGAGCTCGCTGTACATTCAAAGAAGGGACACCAAAAGAACACTAGATGCATATAGTCCAAGACAAAGAAGGGCTTCCGTGTTGGCACCCTGCGCGCAGTGATTCAGAACTTGCAGACACAATCGGGCCTGCCTAGCTCAGCTTGCGTCATTCTCTAGGATCTTCTAGCGCCGTTCAACTATAGCCACTCCTGTCAACTGCAAGAGAGTTTCACCAGCTTATGCCGGCAAGAGATGCAGGTTTGCAATCTTCTGAAGAGGGGACTGCCTGTGCAAGCGCAGCACAGTTGCACCCAGGTGGATTGCAAAGCAATTGCTGCTTTGAGATGGACAGATTGCTTCCAGCTGCCAGCGATGGCACAGATACGGTTGGTGAGGAGAGTTCACTTCACCCTCAGCCCTGTTCCCTGCCTAATGCAAGCAGTCCCCGGGGGGGCTACTGCCGCTCCCCTTGTGCCGCCTGCAAGGTGCTACGAAGGAAATGCACTGAGGAGTGCCTGCTGGCCCCTCACTTCCCACTCAGGGAGAAGGACAAGTTTCTGGTCTTGCACAAGTAAGACTTTAACACTAACGCTAGGACCTTGCAAGTGTTTGCCTCACAAGCTTTCAAGTCCCTCCTTTGAGTCTTATTTGCACTTGTCCTGAATGGCCATGGACAGAGGACCTGAATCAAAAAGCTCTCTTTTTCATCCCAATCTGGTTTCCACAGGCATCATCTAATGTACTTTGAAAAACTTGGTTAAATATTGAAAGCCCAGCATAATTGTTGCCGTTCATTTCTTGCTGGAAGGAAAGTAGGATGATCTACTAAACTGGTCCTTGCTCGACTGATCAAGGCTGATAGTACATATACCAGCAACCTCCGTTGATTGTAGAAGGGAACATTTAGGTGCTGAGAAGATGAGGGAGCTTTCAAAGTGCTGACTGCTTACATGGACTGAAGCTGCTTTGTAAAAGTTTTGCCGGCTCTGACAAGTTTCTTCAACCTCGTGATGCGCTTTAGTAATACCTGAGCTCTCAGCTTCTCATCTGCCTTGATCCTTCTCCCAGTCACGATATCTGTACCAGCATTGGTATCGAAGCTTCAGTACAGCCAGGTTATCAAATTAAGCTTGCACTTTTGTTGAGGTTCTTGGTAGTCCTATCCATTGTAGACGAGAAGCTTTAGTCTCTGGCGGTCTCACACCACTGGCGTCTGTGTTTTTGATGCATGTGGGTTGATCAGCGACTCTATCTAGAACTCTTGTGAGTCTCTCAGGACTCTTTGTTCTCTAATCTTCCATTTGAAAGCGTCCGTAGACCTCCTATGCCCAGCCTGTAGGGTGAAATGTCAGCTCTCCAAATGGATCGTCTTTTTATCAAGGCTGGTCCAAGTCTTATGACACAGGGTCATACTACGTTTTGGCGCTTACCTTCAGGAGGCTCTTGCTTGCGATGAAATTTGTGAACAAAGCATCATCTGCTAGTGTATTGGAAGCTACTATCTCAACCTTTCGCTGCCCATCGTAGCCCTTCGGCTGATTCGCCTGATTCTTCACCAGATTGTCGGGCCCTACTTAGATCCCCAGTGCGAAAGTGCTAGCCAGAAATAAAGTTTGTGTCACAAGACCTGCTACACCAGAGAACGTTGACCCGGGCGATGGAAGCATTGAGCTCTGATCCAGAGCGATATTACGAGACGGTTTCAAGCAGCTTCTAAATAATCGTTGGTGTGTTCCGATGAACTCTTACATGGTCCTTTATGGCCGGATGCAGGTGCTATGGAGCTGCCAATCTGATGAAGATCCTGGCTGACATTCCAAAGTATCTTCGAGGTGATGCGATCAGCTGCCTCGCTTATGAAGCTCAAGCACGGTGAGTTAAGTCTTTCCTCGATGCTCACTCGAATTTTGCAGTCGAGATCTAGCTACCACAGTGAAAACCTTAGAAAGAAGGTTTCAGGTCTAGATCAAGCTGGTCAGAAGCTCGCTGGATGACCCGAGCCTCGCGATGGAAAGGCGATGCTTCGTACAAGTATACTTTTCTTTCCTTCCGGCCGAGTACGAGAGCAGCAAGGCTGAAACTCAACAGGGTTCATCAGGGACTTAATCGGAAGCCTTGAATGACTTGATACTTACAGTTTGCGACCTTCATCCCTCACAGAGTTATCCGTTCTGATTGTAAAGTCGGGCATTTTGGCAATCCAGTTCTGCTTGTGAACCTGGCGTCAAGTACTATCGCTTCTCTTCCAGGACTCTAGACCCCGTATATGGCTGTGTTGGGATAATTGCCGTCTTGCAGGACCAGATTGCAAGTCTGCAGGTGAGCTGAAGCTTCTATAACATTCAAGAGTCTGACGGTTCTTTCTTGGTTGGACGAGCCTGACTGCAAAATGGAATGTCAATCCGCAAATCATGTAGCATCTTGTATGTATCTTCTCAGCTTCTATACTCTTGCTCAGGCCCCCCCTAAAGCTCCTTGTTGTGAACCTCACTGTAAAAGCTACTCTGGTCTGGTTTGCTTGGCAGTGTCTATAACTTAAACTTGACACCCTCGTATAAGAAACTCGCAGGCGGAGCTAGAGACGGAGAGGTCCAATCTAGCAGGCATGAGACGAGTTCGATCGCTTAGCACCCTCTCACAGGACAGTAAACAAGCAATCCAGCTACCAGCGGTGAGTTCTGCGCTCTGGATCGCAACAACGGGCAACAAGTGATCGATCAGACTCCCTTCAAGTCAATGACTTGTGTCTTTGGCTCCACTCTTTTCCCGCCTTGCTGGATTGGACTATGTTCTTTCTTCTATGGAGAGCTCCCTTTTGCGCGCAGTTATTGGAACTGCCAGAGTCCGAGAAAAGAGATTCGCGACAAGTCAAAGAGGAGGCCCTACAATTGAGTCAAACCTGGCAACCCTCGACACCCTCCACACAGGTATGGGAGCGGACTACTGAGCCTTTCTGAAATTGAGTGGCGCTACTAAGGCTTTGCAGACGTTAACCCAACTTCATGCGAGCAGATTATGATTCAGCGAAGGACTCCCGTAGCCAAGTTCTGATCCTTCGACTTCCGCTGTTTTGTACCAGAGTCTTTCAACTGGCTGCAGCTTAACGTTTCCCTAACATCTGCATATACTTGCCGAGCAGGCCTGTAAGTGCGATTTTGGCCGTCAGGTACCAGGAAAGTCACTTCTTGCTACCGACCTCTACACGGCTGAGTGCTTGCAGCGAAGCTCATGTTCTGTGATCCACAGGCACACTTGTGCACTTTGAAGGAGCGACTGAACAATAAGCTCGCTAGCCGCCCCTCCTGTCTAAAAATTCTGACTTGTGATCGAATCAAGTCGCATCATGCTATTGCAAGAATTGAAGCCAATTGCGCGCGCGGCCGTGCAGGCCGGTGTGCATAACATGCAACTCTGCGGCGTGACAGCGATGCCAGCGGACTTGGCCCCTGCTAGTGCTCCACAGTATCCTGTCTCGGTGCCAGGGGCACAGGAGGTAATCTCGCCTCTGATTCTTTTATTAAGGAAGGTCGAAGGACCTTCGCATTCTTGCTTCTGCATGCAACGCGGGTAGCAGAAGTGAACGCTGTAGCCTTGCTGTGCGTTAGCTTCGGTTCGTTTCAAAAAGTCTCCCAGCGGCACTAGCTGCAGCACGTTGTGCGACTTTGTCACACATGATCAGCTTCAAGTATAGGAACCGGGACTGTATCAAAAGGATGCTTTGAGAGGACGAGTCCTGCCAAAAGATAAGATGGTGCTTTCGATTTAAAGCTCGAAATACATTCGCGCTCTTCTTGCCCCTCCGCTGCTGCGCTCGTTCATATAAGGAAACGGAAACATTAAATTGACCGACGTAGTTCTTGGCTAACTTTCGGTCAGCTTTTGATTTGCAGAAGACGAGGTCGAAACATGCCTGTCTGAACGGTCGTGGACCGGTGCTTGCCATCGAATCAGGGTTCAAAAGAATTGTCACAACCGCAATTTTGATAATTTGATTGCAGATCGCACAGAGCTCGCAGAGCACAGCAGCCCTCGACTTCGCCGTTCCTCATTTTGCTTTTGGGCCCGATGATGACGTGGGCAATAACAACGACGGGGCCCATCCGGCCACCTGGGGTTCCTACGCGGACCCCATTGCCGACTTCCACCATTGAAGAAGCTCGGATTAATTATTATCCACTAACATGACCTAGAACGGATTTGACATTCAGCCACTGATCAATCTGCGGTTTGAGATCGTCATTAATTACCTGCAAGCTTGAAGGAGATACTTAACTCATTCGGTTAATTGGTTGTACATAGTACAGGACACGATCTTGCAAAAAAGTTGTGAATGCATTAATCAACCCTCCAATTTAGGGTGGAGAGCACCCGTTATTCTAAGTACTGTACTCTGCAAAGTCAGCGCGTGACAATTGCGCCAGCTCGGTTACCAGCAAAAGAGAAGACTTGGAGAGCATGACACGTCACAAGCAAGAACGGATAAGACAGGACCACCAGCGTGCATGTGAAGAGTAGCAGATTGAATTTGAAGTATGCAATGCTAAGACAGACTCTGCTAATCGTCGGTGTACTCCAAAGGTACTTCGAAGAATCAAGGATACTCCAATAACCTCAACGAGCAACTTTATACGTCATGATTTGATCAAAACAAACTTATTAAGAGCAAGTCAGGTAACATCGATATCATGATGAATTCAATGGCATCCATGCTTTACTCACTGCCCGGCAGTAAGCTTTTGCGGGCGGGCGGCCCGCAAGACATCTATCCTTCAAGATTCCAAAGGCTTCCAAGGCTGTGCCGGGTCATTCGTCGACCAACTTAATGCACAGGTATGCACATACGGCGATGGCAGTCGGTCAGATGATGACGCGTTGACTTGGAGAAATATCTCCACCAGCTGATCACTTGGGGGCAGTACATGCAATAAAGCACTGGAGCCGTCTCGACGAACAGAAGATTCAGAAAGTTTGTAAGGACTTGCTCAGCTTAGGATCTAGTACAAGAACGTACGTCATCGGAACGTGACTAGAGTTGGAGCTTCGTGTTGGGCTCTTCAGCATATCGGACAGTACTCATGTATTACGGTGCTAGGTCCGGCGAGGCGCGGTATACCGTGCACTGCTGAAGTAGTGAACCCTACAGTGATTAAGGATGTTGATTTGGTTTGCTAGAACTTCTTTGAGGCTTCTTTGGCCATTGAGTGAGAAAAAGGGAATCGCCAATTATGCATCTAATGGCCTCAAAATGTGTCACAGTAAGACCAACAAAAGAAGCTCAATATCATCCGCCTGGCAGGCTATCCTTCAGTACCTCGTATCTCTACATTACCGTCCTCACGTGACGGTATTGCCACACAGTCGCCCTTGATTGACCACTGACGACGTGTACTATAATTCTCCTTTTACCCAACCGTCAAGTACGAGCTGCGCAGCCTGGCTGGCACGGTCTGCGCGGCCGCGCGCCGGGCGCGGTCAAGGTTAGTATAGTAGAGGAGTGCTGCAGTATATACCTGGTACCTTCGTTGGATAGTAGGTAGCTAGGTAGGTAGTTGTGAAGAGTATGTACCGTACCCTGATGATTGTCCGTACGTCCTTCAATAAAAGTTGCGCGGCGCTCGCGTGATTTTCGAGCCGATTTATAGCCTTCCGATGTTGTGCTATTCAAAGCGGACCGTCCATTATACTTAGTTATCACCTGCCTAAGCTGCGGTAGTGCACAGCTAGGGGTTTGAAAATCCGATGCAGGCGGCCAGCGAATGCAATGTGCACCCTGCTGTGCACCGTCAATAAATTGACCTCATACCGTCTTCAAATGAGCTTCAACTTATAGCTGGCCGGCGCCGGCTCTAATCATGTGCTGTAGTCGGCGGCAAACTCCGGGGAGACGCAGATTATTGCACGTGGTTTTCGAAAGCTAGGTTGTATCGGAGTCGTCCATACGTTTTCAAATCGGGCCTGTCTCACACAAATTGACATCGCTGACCTTAGATCGCGTCGATATGAAACCCCAAGTCACCTGAGAGCAATGCAAGACTGGAGGCAGCACTTTGCCACGTCTTGGAGAAGGAGAATTGAGATTGGAAGAGGAAGCTGATTAATATCGAGTCTTTGGATACTGGTCCACTGAAAACTCTGAGGCCATTCATGTCGCCGCAGATTCCACATAGCCTACTTCCAAATATCCATGTTGAGGTGCGGCATTGCGCGAATTACTTCCCAATTACTACCTGCAGTCTAAAAATTTGAGTAGGTAAGCATCGTGCCGAACTTCTGCGCTGTCTTTGCGTTTTGCGTGAGGATCTAGTTCAGCGGAAGGGAAGACTTCGAGCAGTGGTGAAGAGTCTGGCTACACTGATCTAGAAGGCTCTTTTGGTGAGAGGAGCGGAAGGCAAAAAACGAAGGAAGAATCAGGTCTGAATACGTCGTGCACAATGACGTCAAACGACGTACACGTGGCCCGCATGGCGAGCAGCACGTGTCCAGCGGAACCCAAAGCCGCGAGGGGGACGGAAGAGTACCACGGTCTGGGATCCACCCAGTCGCTGGTCAGGCGGGGGGGTGACATCATTGCGGTGGGTGCCACGTAGAACAATCCATGGCTAGGTGTCTGCATTTGAGGCGTTCATAGCCTAGTGCGGGGCTCCGACAGAGATTTTGGGTTGTTCGAAAGCCTGTGATCAGGCGTTTACGTTCGAGCGGAATTCTACTCATAAGGAAGGGGATGCATATAAGTCAGAAAATTGAATTGCTGCCCACAAGAAACATGGGTGTAAATGCAGAAGAGGTGCTGGTGGTTGTCTTGGCGGGCCGCTAAGAAACTTGTCCATAACAGAAGCCCTTGCTTATACAACTCATGAACAGATGTTTGGGCTCTAAACATTTCAGAGATTTCAGTTGACCATCAGGTGCAGAGATGCAGGGACTCGTCATAAGTAGCTGATTCACCGTCGGGAACGTTTCAAGACCATCAAAGTCTGATTGCCATTAAGAACAACCAACCCACCAGCTCGCTTATCACCGACTTTGGTCGAATGTAGTCAAAGGGCTCTAGTTTCATGCGTCCCTTAGACAGAATCGAGCAGATTAAGGTCAGTCAGTTGGCACCAGTTGTACCCCTTGAAAACCACTCTTTCTTTAGTGCAAAGTCGTGCACAATTTCATCTTAGCTTGCATGGTCTTCGGAAGGTTGAATTGAGAATCAGTCATGCTGTGAGAATCCAGTAAAACGAGATTGCCAGCCAAGAGAACCGAATCTCTTCCATACGTAGCACCATCTCCTTTGCAGATGTGACAGTGAGTGAATAAGTGCAGATTCAAACGTAGTTACGCTAGCTCGCTGGTTGGTGGAATCAGAGCGTAAACCAGAAAGCTGTGCAAAGGGACCGGATAGCCGTTCAAAAGCCAGGGCTCGACGAGGGACGCATAACTGACAGGCTGAGTATATGGTGATGTTCATCCGACAAGCACTGAGCAATGGGCACTTTTTCTCGACAGATTGCCCACCCGCTCCCGAAGACTGGGTACAAGGCCCCGAACGCGTATGGAGCGAAGCCAATCTTCCAAGACGCCACGTAAGCGCCCTAGCCTACCTGCTTTCTCTTGTCAGAACTTTGCCGAAGGAATTGTTCCTGAGCGTGCTGGTTTATCGAGCGCCGTTTGGGACTCTAGTAGCTGACGTCGGGTCGTTACGTCAGACACACTCGGGATATTGCCGGCTAAAACCGAGTCGTTCCGGTGTATTTCGGGTGCTTTGGGGAAGCAATCCGGAGACGGGTTCGGGCCGAAAGCCGTCCAGCTGGATGAATCTGAACGATGTTTAGGCACGACGACTGAACCGTCTCGACCAGTTTCGGACGCAGAGCGGCCCCCATAGAGCATCAGCGAACCAGACGGACAGCTTTGGGACGCAGTTTCGGCCCCTAGAGAGAATCAACGGACCAAATGGACAAGTTGCGGACGATAATTTACTGGTTGGACGCTCTTTGGACGCAGGACGACGGGGTCCGCGCAGAAGGCCGTCCAGAAGGTGGGCGACGAGAAGAAGAAGCAGCTGATGCCGTACGCGCCCAACGCGTCGCGCAACCGGCCCGCGGAGACGCGCACCAACACCGTCGGGCGGCGGACGATCTCCACACGAAACGCCAGCCAAGTCAGGTGGGCCTTCTATTTACGAATCTTTCTGAATGTACATATGCCCTTACCCGATTTTGTGTCCATTTGGATTCAGGGGAATGCGCATGAAATCGTCGGGCGGTCGATCGCCACCCACCCGCAGCCAAGTCAGGTGGGCCTTCAGATTCCCCTGGATTTTCAGTTGGTGACGTGTCATCTCTTAGGTTGTGGATTCTTCAAATAACCCCTCCCAGGAAAGCCAGCCAAGTCAGGTGGGCCGAACCCAACATTCTTCAGATTCTGCGGCGCCGCTCATCGAGATTCTAGGGGCCTGGACTCACAGCGAGACGCGCGAAATCCAAAGGGGGTGAAGGATGATGTCCACACGGAACACTAGCCAAGTCAGGAAGCCGCCTGATCTCTCGAATATGAGATGCAATTCTCGCATCATGTCTTCTGGATTCAAGAACACGCGCAAGCACACTTGGGCGGCGGCCGTTCCCACCCGGAACGCCGGCCATGCCATGTAGACGATCCGATCTTCTAAATTATCCAAGGCTTGAACAGGCGAGCTCTTGGGTTTTGAATTCTGTTAGATTGAAAAGATGCGCAAGATACCCTCCGGCGGCGGACAATCGCCACCCGGTACGCGCGCAAGACCAGGTGGCTTTTCAATTGAGATCAGAAGTTCGGCTGGACTCCTACCATGAGCTTTCATTCGGCAGCGAAAGAAAGGAACGCTTCGTTCTAAGAGTCTCTGTCAACAGTTCTTGTTCATCTTGCGCCGCCTGATGTTCCTGGCAGACCGTCATCAATGTACCTCCACCAATTGCTGTGAAATTTTGCCCACACTTGCTTTAGAACTTCTGCGTGCCTGAGGTACGGGCTTTAGAGGTCGTCCGAATTTCGTGACCAACAAACGTTACTGGGTCCTCAATCAGAGCTCTGACCCCTACAGGTTAGCAGACGGTGACCCCGACTCCCGGCGGCCTTCAAAGACGACGAACCAGGTTTACTCGGAGGGGATCCTGAAAACGGACGTCATCGGACTCAGCAACCAGGGCATCTCGGCAGGTGGGTTGGTAAAACCCTCTTTGTAAACCCGGGGACGGTTAGCACTTGACATGGCTGCGTGTTTTTGTCGAGTTGGGCTGATTAACCCTGCATTGAAAACCGGGTCAACCGCGGGGGGTTCAGTGCTATCGGAGGAGTTTATTCATCGAGCCAAGGAATAAGGAGACAACCAGCTAGGAGCAGCGGAGATTGGCTTCGAAGTCAATCGTACATTTCTAGAAACTTGTCAACTCTCATTGAAGACGACTGCATACTTTGTCGCACCACAGCCAAGCGTGTCTCAATCTACCCACTTTGATCCGGCAGCTCCTTTACCCGAGGTTTCCGCCTGAATCGAGCAACTGCGCCTCAGCTGAACCGTTGTAATTTTGCCACCTGCAGAGATTGCAAGGAACATGCATGCGAAGCAGAGGCGATAGGGTTTTGAGGGTCAGATCCGGCAAGGACGCCAACGTAATTAAAAATAAAGCTGTCGGTAAAGGACTAAGACGGCGAGAATGAGATCACCAGCACTGCTCCCTCGTCTGCCTCCCTTGCTGCCCTGGTGGGCCTGTCAAATTGACAGATATAATTGATAGTACAGAGTTTCGGGGCGGCCAAACGCCGCAAGTCAACTTGAAGCCCACCTGGAACGGGGGTGACAGCAAGTAGGTGATGCTATGAAGGGAGGCGGGACGTCGAAAGATTTGTGATTGTGTATATAAAGAGTGGTTACTGACAATCCCTAAGAGACTGCTTTTACTGTAGTTTATTCGACCTGAGAGCGCTGCGATGGGGTGACATGTCTGCGGTTGTGATCGACCAGAATTTAAGGCATCAGGTTTACAATCGTCAAGCTCGCTTCGCGGCGGCTTCGCCGTCGAGTGACCGTTGAAGTCATCGAGCACGGGTGAGCAACATCATGCAATATAGGTAGAACCATATACAGGTTTAGTGATTGTACAGGGACGACCTGTCCGAGTCCGCCTTCTTAGCTCAGACAATTCAAATGAGCGTGTTGCACTTGAAGGCTTTGCGCTCAATTGCTAATGCTCTTGAACGTTCCGACCTAGAATATGTTGACACAGTGGGAAACGCTTGGCCGGAGTATACGTCCGATCAATCTGCGACCTTGCATGACCCGAGTCAGTACATGTTCCGTGGTTAGCAACCGTACAACGATGAAGCTACTGTAGGAGCTCACTATAACATGCAAGAGATAAGACTTACTGCTGTACGCGGTAGCTGCCGTACAACAATTCAATGATTGCCGCATATGCTAGGGGGACTCAAAGTGGGATTTCCGAAGTCCACCGTGGACCGGTTATCTAGGCTAGGTAGTACCATACGTCGGATCGATCGGATAAGTCCATATTGGGCGGCTTGTGAAAAAGGGGCCGCCTGAAAGCTAAAAACATGTTGCGCATGTGGGCCCCAATTCTTTGGCATACCGAGGAGAGATACGCCAATCATGCCTATCAGAAGCCGTTACCCAGCATGTTGTTCTGGAGCCAACTTCGTGATCATCATTTGCAGGTCGGATGCAACCGGCAGATTTAAGCGAACATGCAAGCTCGATAACGTTGCGGTCCGGAGTAGATCGTTTGTTAAATCTTCAAGGTAGTGGATCCAACATGGTCAAAAACCTTCGCCTTCACAGGTGTGTCAATGCACGAGTGACGTGACCTCACTCATGAGCAGCCTCTGAAACCGCGATTTGATCAATTCCTCAAAATGTAAGTACGCAGGCTAGCTCACAATCGTGCTTCATTAGGTTGTTTCCTTAGCAGCGAGAGTAGCTAACTTTTGACTCAGTGTTCCTTAGCTTCGCTACACAATCTTATGCTACCGTGAAGTAGGCCTGCAGACGCAGGGCCAAAAGGTTCCACGTAGACGCTTAGGGTCCTTGAAACAAACAATCAAAGAATACGCACCTTGTAGGATACCTTTATTCTGCTACCTGTCATGACCGTCCGGAAAGTCTAGCCGCACTATCCCTAAGCAAATGATGCTCATGCAGATCAACCCCAGGCATCCAAGCCGCACATGATTTGAACGGACTGAAACACTAAAGCCGATGACTCTTATGCTACCGTGATTGATGCTCAACAGCCTGTACAAGCGTGCTACTCCACACTACAGCCGCCCGATCCCTACCCCTAAATGATGAGCTCGACTACCACGTATGTTCCCTCAGAACGACTTCAACTCATGCAACAAAAGAGGGTCGACTTCGACCTTTTGACTGTCTGTAATCTCGGCGGCGCTGAACGCCCCGGAATGACCGCTCGGTAAGCGGCGGGCGCCAGAGCCGCTCGCGGCCGCGCCTCCGTCTGAGCCCGGCTGAGCGGGCGGGGAATCGTTCTGCTTCTTGTCCAGGATGATCTGAAACGACAACTTGCCACGTCTAAGAAGTCGAAACGTAAATGAATTTAGCAATAAGACGAGACAACTAGCACGGGGACACGAGACACCGCATTCGAGCGGACTCCACCAAGTCGAGGACCTAGTACCGCTACGTCGCAAATGCATGCCACAGGAAGGACCTAAGATGTGGATAGGGGAACGACTGGCTCTATTGCACACGAAACACCAAATATGACGGGGAGTGACGTGGGGAGGTAACAGCCTACGCCGATAGGAAGAAAAGGGTTGAAACTCGACGAACGAAGCAAAAAGTTGAGCAGATGTCCGAGGTCTAGGGTCCTGTTGTCCCGGATCAGGAAGCTGTCAGCAACCCACACCCGCCTTCCTTCGGCAATGCAAGTTGAGCAACGAAAACCGCAGCGAAGTGTTCTGGGTCCATCAGCTGAACCTTAAGTGCTTGCCGAACAATGAAAGCCAAAGGCTAGGATTGCCCGCCTGATCCCGGGCCCCGCACTTAACATCAGTCCTTACTCAGACTCTAGGGCTAACGTCAGCAATCCAAAGGCAAACAGAAACGGAAAAGAAGCGAATGTTAAACCTAGTCGCTTTACTTCCGCTCACCAGGCGGCCGTCCCTGTCAGGTAGAACACGATGCAGTCCCCCGGGGCTAAGTCCAACGGCTGACGTCAGCGACAGAAGGTAGATCAATGCGCCGAAATCAGCAAATAGAGAGTGGAAAGAGAAACACCGAACCCCGGACGCCTTGCTGTCGCTCACCAGGCGTCCGTCGTTTACCCGATGGCGCCCCCCCGGGGCTGATTCAAAGTGCTGACGTCAGCAATACCAAAGCCAAAGTTCCGCGCTATAATAACGAAAATCAGCACTCGGAAAAGAAGAGCGGCGAGTCTCAGTGTCTACCAGGCGACCATTCTCTGCCCGGTAGATAGAGAATAAGTTACCGAGGGCTAAAGCAAAGCGCTGAGATCGGCGAAAGCAAATGCAGATTGGATTTCGAAAGCAATAAACTTCTCTCGCTTACCAGGCGGCGGTCGTCTGCCCGGTAGAAAGCGAGAAGATCCCCTGGCGCGAGCCCGCGCGATTGGAGGAAGTCGCCCGCGTGCTCCAGAACGTACATTCGGCTCCTGTTGTTGAGCCAGACGCTGCAAAGAGGATGGGCATTTATGGTCTTCATTCCCGATCGAAATGTATCCCTTTCGTGGCTGGAAAGAACGTTTCCCGCGTGCTCGAAGACGTACATCCGGCTCCTGTCAAGCCATACGCTGCAAAGAACGAAACGAGCGCTGATTATACTGTGCTCCAATCCAATGAATCCGTTTTGTGCTCCAATCCAATGACTCCGTTTTGTGTCGACAGCTGGACCCACTATCCGGCACCAAGTGGCTCTGTCGTCTTTCTCGGGTCGCTAGCTTTCGTGGGTGGACAGAAAGAAGCGATCTTCGCGAACCCCTCGAGCTATTTCAGTCTCCAAGAACCATCTGCTGCGGGAAAACGAGCAGTCGAGTGGGAATGGTCAAGCTGCAAAAGGAAGGGCCGGGGAAAAACGGTCGAACGCCAACTAACGTCCTGCCCGCATTCCCTTAGCTCGATCCCTGCAGCTGACAAAACTGATGGAAAAGCCGCTTCTTGGAAACGGCCTTCCTATGTACTGAGCCTCCCCGTGTTTTCATCAGAAGCAGAGCAGACAAACGCAACGGAAGTGCCGGTTTTGGCAACGGCCTTACCTGTAGCGGAGCTGCCACGTCTTCCCGTCAGCGTCCGTCACTGTCAGGGTGCAGCTCTCCTTGCCGGCCATCCGAGGCAGATGCCCCTCCGCTTGAACCTGCGGAGATGAAGCCGCTTCAGGGTTGAGAAACCGGTTGCTTGCCCCCTATAACTTCCAAAACTAAACTAGTGTGCAGGACTTCACAAATTTCCTGCACATATTGGTTCCTTTTTCCCCCGTCCATGAATGATAAGCACTCCCATGTAATTTCACCAGCGGGATGCACGAACCATGACGCTGTAAACAGTCTCGTCAGAGGGGGCCAATCGCTTGCTCCTGCTTCCAAGACCGCAAGACCCCATTCCAAGACGGATGACAGTTTCGCAGTTGCTAAAACGGAAGGGCGACAAACAAGCTCGTTCAAAAACATAAAAGATCTTCTAGCATTTGCAAGACCGGAACAGAAATGAGCGCGACTTCAGACAGTCGCATATCCACACAACCAGAAAAGCGTCCCCTTGCGAAGAAAACAATCCGTTGAGCCGCTGTAACGGCCTTCGCGGCGGTAAGAAGATACGTGCAAGAATAAGGGCGTCCCACAAAAGGAAGATTGTTGACTGACCTTGGGCATGACGATCCTTCCCAACGGATTGGTGTCGCTTATCGTCAGCGCCTTCTCGAACAGGTACGTGCAGCCCGGGAGCTCCGCCGTGACCTTCCGCTCCTGCGATTCCGTCCGTTCCATCCGTCCGGCGGAATGCCGCCTCTCACCTCCAAAAGAAGGCCGGAAATCGCCGGAAGCATTTCTGGACGGGTTAGGGAAGCTGTTGACAAGCTCTGGGATTGACTGGGGTGAATGGGCACCGACTTGGTGACTAGGGGTTTGACGTTCTTGACTACTCTGGTTAGCGAAACCCGCCATTGCTGAAGTCAGCTGCTGACTCTCACCCGCAGTTCCTGCGGGCTGGTCAGCGTTAACCGAGGTGATTCCGGCCTCGATCCCCCAGTGAGAAAGATCTATCGACGGAAAAGATGGGAGAGTGCTCAACGTTCGGCCTCCCGACCCGTCCCAAACCGCTTGGCTGGGAGCGCCATTTTCCAGGGGGGTCTGCTTTCCTTCACTGGGGTTCAGAATTTGGACGGGCTCGAGGATCAGCGGGTTGAAGTCAGTAAGCGGCTTTTCACACTCCGTCAACTCCGAATCGTCGCCGCTTTCGCTTGGAAAGGTCCGACGATTTGGGCTTAAAATGGGGGCGCTAGAAGGGGTGGGGGGGGCGAGGACCGGGGGGAGTGGGCTAGGCGCTTCTGTGCGCTGCCTCTTAGTGGGGGGGTCCAGGCCCTCTAACAAGGTGCCCCCCGCTTTGAGGAGCGAGCGCTTTTGACGGTACTCCATGCAGAGGTCGAACAACTTCCGGACCTGAAGACAAAGCGGAGACACCGTCAGTGCTAGGTTACCCAAAGTAGAAACAAACCTTAGCGTTCGCCCCATCAAGAAAGGCAACACGCACAACTTGAGCTTTCACCAGTTTCTTTCTTCGAACCTGTCCTTACTCGACCTGTGCCACCGCTTCTAACGCCCACAAAGAGGGGTTGGCACAAGCTTTAATGCTTCCCCTGACCTCGAACTGTCAACTAGGAGCCTTCTTGTGACGCAAATACAGAGTGGTCTTGACGAATCAAGTCCCGGATCTCAGCAGAGAATGGACAAGAAAACAACTTTTTTGATTTTCAGCAACAATTCCAGGACGGATGCCTCAGAGCACCGCACCTTCTCCGGCTCGAAGTCCTTCAGCTTCCTGCGCAGCACTTTCTTCACGTTGTCCACGGCCAGCCCCGTGTCGCCTCGCATCGACGCCTCACTCGCCAGCCCCCCCTCGTTTTGCGACCCCTGGCTCCCTATGCTGCTCCCGCTACCCCCCCCGAAAGAGAGGGGCCCGTTTACCTGGTAGGGAACATCCACCACAGTCCCAATCACCCCTCCAAAAGGTAACTGCATTCCCGCCCCAAAGGGAGGCACGAATGCTGCAGGGGGGATCCCTTGAGGCCACTGGCCTGGGGCCGGGGGGTGGAACGGGCCCTGCACTGTTGGGGGGGGGACAAACGGACCGACAAACGGCTGCCCCATCACAGCCGCCTGCGCGGCAGCGAGGCTTGCGAGCGCCGCTCTACTGAGGGGGGGGTGCGAACCATCTGTGATCAGCCCCGCCGGTATGCTCCAGGGGGGGTGCGACACGGGGGGCTTGTGTTCCTTCGGCCGGTGGTTCGAGATCCACTTTTTGAGCTGGCGCATCCCCATGCCGATCAGTTCGCACATCTGCTGTGCCCGAGGATCGTTCTCTAGCCCGGGCGTTGCCCACTTTATGCTCTCCCCGAAGTCGTAGAGCGCTTTCTGTTGCTGGGGAGTGAAGCGCATACGGGGGCCCGCGAGGGGGTCCTGCATATCCAGGGGGGGCGGGGTCGAGGGCAGCATCGGGCGGCCGATCTTGCGGGAGCCGGAAGAGGCGGTTTGGCGGGTGCCGGAGGACCGCCGAGAGACGGCACTTTGGAAGGGCGGCCGGGCTGAGAGTGCATAATAGGCTGCATCGCTGCGCTTCCAAGCCTGCGCCTGTGAGCCAGCATTGGGCGCCTTTCCCATCTTTGCTTCCCATTGCAACTGCTGGTCAGCGCTTGGCGGAGCGAAGTCCGGGGAGCCATCTTGCCCACCAATTTCAGAGGCCCACCCGCTCTCCAAACTTCTTTTGCCACCTTCCCCGCTACCCCCCGTACTCTCCCCCTCGATCACGTGAGCAGCCCCCTCTCCAGTATCCCCAAGAGCTGCGAGCAAGCCCTCATCCGTCCAGTCATTCGACACCCCCGATGCCCCTTCCAGTGGGGCCGCCTGCCCCTCCGCCAGCCCCCCATCCCAATCAAAGAGCTCTGTGAGTAACTCTAAGCTGGCAAGCCTGGTTAGCTTTCGCTCCTCATGCCCTGGGGGTTTGAAGTTCTCGAAACCCTCGGATGACAGGAGGTCTGACACGAAATCTAAACTGGCGAGACGATCCAACCCCTTGAACGCCTCCCCCTCCCCACCCCCCTCCAGTTCTGCCAGAACATTCTCCCAAGGAATGTTGCTAGGGTTTGGTGCGGGGGCCTGGACGGTACCTTCTGAAGTCATGCTTTCCAACCTGCGAAAGCAGAGAAGGTGAGCGTCAGGCTGGGTATGCATCGAAGATGCAATGGCAGGTATGGTGCATCATGAAACGTGATAACCTAAAAGACGCTTGATGCCAATCACAAAATGCTGGACAAGGGCTGATTAATGGCTACCCTATGTATCGCTGGACGCACTTGCAACAAGTGAAAGCTAGGCACGGCGTAACATGTAATACAAAATTGGACAAGACAGTGTGAGAAGAAGCATCCGCTTGATAGTGCAGAAGATGTTGCGGATTCAGTAAGTCAGAAGAATTAGCCACTGGCAAAGCAAGCACAGATTCTGTTCGATGATGCACTGCATAAAATATTTTCAGAATTGTTGAATGGGTGTATGTTTCTCAGTATCTGGTCTACATTCAGAATTCAGAATCGTTTCGGTTATGCAGTCTTACGATACGCCGATTATTGTGCTCATCAAGCATGTTCCTTTTCATCATAGGTGGCCAACTTCATTCAAACACTCCACCTAGCAATGCATCAACAGCCTCTAAGAACCATGAAACTGGCTCTCTGCAATTGGTGATCGACTTTGTGACAGATGGACCTGCAACCTTTCTTTCAGAACACAACAAGCAGTTCTCCCTTGTCTTTTTTGAATGAGTAGGCCCAAATCTGTCAGCAATAGAGCATGTCATCAAAATGCCAGTCGCTACTATGGAAGTTAAGAACACACTCACTTGCAAGGGTCTCTCAACACTCGCTGCACGTGGCAGGAACAGGATGTCTGTCAGGCCTCCGCTGAAATCGGTGTCTCCATGGGGTAAGGTTTCAACTTGCAACACCATGTGCTTGCCACCTTTGCATGTTCACCTCTTCTTTCAGGCAGTGCTCCAATCTACTTTTAATCCATCATGCTCTCACAGCCCTTCTGCAAAGACGTGACATACGCCCCCCTGTCTTGAGCGAAGCTGGTGAGGCTAAAATAACATGGGACTCCGAAGCGGCCGTCATGATCAGCTACAACAAAGTGCACGACGCCCTAGCTCCCTCCCATTCCGCTTGCCAACTTGTCCTTTCAACTTGTTCGCCGCCATGTTGCTGCCAAAGCGCCGGTGACGTGTCCATCCATTTGCAAGTGGTTACAATCGCTCATGATGAGCCTCGCCCGCGTCTCCTCAAGCGCCCCAAGTTCCGAACACATTTTCCACCATGGAAATTCATCGCCAATGACAACTTGCCAGCAAGAGAACAGAGCTCATCCGAAAGCCCCAAAAAGAAGAGGCGGCCACTTTTGCAGAGGACAGCCTGCATGTGGTCCGTTTGCGGAGTGCAATTTGCGACGGTGCCTCGACGTGCGGGTCAGACTTGGCAGGCCGACATCGCGACGCTTGGCGTTTGTTGGGATGAGTCAAACTGTTCGGCCAATCAGAACTTGGCATAAGAATGCGCGATCAGATTGCAACAACGACCAGATCTTTCGGGATTGGAGCCGCCTGACATTGCATATGATTGAAGTTTTGCAGCTCACCAAGTTGGAAGTTGCTTACATACTCAAGTTGCTTCAGGGAGCACGATTCTGCTGCATTCTGCTGCATGCAAATTGCAATGCCAATGGTTTCTTTCCCTTTGAACAATCGGTGCTGATTC